ACACACACACACACACACACACACACACACACACACACGGCCCATTTCAATGGCTCAGAGGGTAGCTGTGTGGAAGAACTGAGCTGGAGTGCAGGGAATCAAACAGGGGTCCTTCCCAAGTGGGGAGCAGGCTGGTCTTTGCAGATTTCCCTCTCTTGCCTGTCACTGCCACCCATCCATCCGCCACTCCCAACTCTCGGAAATGTTTTGCCCTATTCTCAGCAATGGGCAGAGAATTTGGGTGTCTCTGTGTTTCCCTCTATACCTCTCTGATGTTTTTTGGGGGGATGTGGCCTCACCCTCACAGTTAGAGAGAGAACTGGCAGGGGTGGGGGCATCTTCCCAAACTGTGACTCAGCATCTCTGGTATTTGGGGTTGTGGCCAATTGTGACACTTTGCTCATAGGGGACTGTAAGTCCCATGGGGTGGGAGAAAGGGTCAATGTCCACAAGGAATGTTCCAGAAATTGGGGGGGGGGCTCTAGCCCTACCCCTCTGCCACACACCCAGCTGAAATCTGGCAGTGAGAGGTGAAGGTAGAGGACTCTAGGAGGCAGAGGGAAGGGACAGGGTACTGGGATTGAAGCATGTGGGAGCTGGAGGAGTTGGAGGCCCCAAATGCCCTTGAACCTGGGGAAAGCAGATGGGCCTCAGGGATGGAAAAACTAAGCAGGATTTCCAGACCCCCAGTGAGAAAGGTCAAAGGAAGTGTGAGGGACAGGAAGGCAGCTTCTGGTTCTGCACTGTGTGGCCAGGATGGGAGCAGAAGGATGCTTGAGAAATAGAGGTGCTAGGTCCCCACAGACTGGAGTAAGGGCCCGGGGGTAGCTGGAGATCTGGGAAGCAAGAGTGGGGCCAACAGCTGCGGGGTTTCCCAGTTACCCCCCCTTCCACTTCCAGTTGTTTCTAAGCCATCAAATTCTTTCCAGGCGAGATAACAGGCCTGCCTGCCTCACCCGGGGCGTGTCACGTGTGTTGGGGGTGCTATTGGAGGGGTGGGAAGGTTCAGATGGACAGAATTAGGGGGAATCTGGAAGGGGACTGAAGTGAAGACGAGTCCTGTGCTCCTGGGGGACACACGCGCCTTTGCAGTGCTGCGTTCTTGCACTCAGCCAAGAACAAGTGTAGCGGTGTCTCTGCAGGCTCCGTGCCCTTCCAGACCCCAGAACCCTCACTTTGCCCCATTGCAGAATTTCCTAAAGTCTTGAGATTTCCCAGCCCTCCCTCCCAAGCCTGGGACCTCAGGTGTACCACCTCCAGGAGTCTGTCTGTCTGTCTGTCTGAAGTCTCTCTCTCTCTGGCTGCTCCCGCAGTTCAGTCTCAGCCACTCTGAATCTACCCATGATTTCCTCCAAGGCTTAGCTGCCTCCCAACTCAACTCAATCCTCCCTGTCTTCTCTGCACCTCCCGATGAGCACCCCAGGCTGACACCATCTGACACCTCTGATTTGTTCCCAGCACCTCTCAGGTGCATGCAGCCTTGCCCAAACCCAGGCACAAACCGCCCTCTGCGCACGCACACACTGCCCTGTCCTCTCAGACACACCTCCCCGGGGAATCTGGTGCAGAGCCCCAGGTCCCCGCGCTGCTGCCGGAGCTCTTCAGGGAGCTCTCCTGCCACGCCTTCGCCAGCATGTGTGGGACAGGAGAGAAATCCTTTGCTCTCACTTCTCCATCTGGGTCTACCAGCGCTCTGTAACTTACCTGGGTATTGGGCTTCTGCTGTGCCTCTGCACCTGCTTTGTCCCAACCCCTCAGGGCAGAGCAGGGTAAACTCTTTGGCAGCCCTGGGCTCCCTGGAGGACCCCTTCGCTTGTCCCTTGCAGCACTGGCTCACAGAGCCACAATAGGACTGTGGATCTGGGCAGCAACAGAGAGGAGGGAGCCTTCAGCAAGCAGGGGGAGGAGAAGGGGAGGACCAGCGTGAGGTCAGGGAGGGGAGCAGAGATAGGGCAGGGCCTCCCATCCCTCCTAGACCCTCCCACAAGCCACCCCTCCCCTCCTCCGGCCCTCACCCAGGTCACCTCCCCATCCAGAACCCAAGTCCCACCATACCCTCCTCTCACCCCCTCCAGTTCATTTTCCCACCCATGTCTTTTCCTTATCCTGTTTTTAACTCCTCCCAACCTTAGTTTTTGCCCAACCTGATAGTTCCCATTCCCCCTGCTGTTTCCTTTGGCTCCACCACTTCTTCACCTGTGGCCTGTCGCTCGGCCAACGCCATTCCTCCAGGCCGGCCCCTCCCCCTCCCTGCCAGGCTCCTTTTCCCAGCTCAGCTCTAGCTTGAATCACCTAGCACCCCAATCCTCCCCCAGGAAGTGCAGTGCAGGGAGCAGAGATGGGGGCAGGAGACCGAAGGCACCCCCAGAACTTAAACTCACCCCAAGTTCCACGAAATTGACCTACCCAATTCTGTCCAGCACTCCCTCCTGCCCTCCTCCTCCCCTTGCTGTCCTGAGCTGTCTCTGCTCTGCAGTCTCCCTCCCGTCCCAGCTTGCGATCACTGCCCCCCCCCCCAATTCTCCCACCTCAGCGGATTCCTAGAGAAATAGCGGGCAATGACTGGGCAAGGGCTTGGCTGAACACCAGGACATATGATTTGGGGAGGAAGCAGGGATTCAGTCAAGGAAGCAAAGCCTAGAAGTTGGGAGGAAAGTGAGGGATGGACTAAAGAGTTAGAGGCGGGAGGCAAACCTGGGGGTAGGACACTCAGTGGAGGGTAACATTATGGAAAGTTGGGAGGGGGCTAAGCATGGAGAGCAGGGTTGGGAAACAGGTGTTGGCAGAGATGGAAAAAGTGGGCACCCGTGGCTCACGCCTGTAATCCTAGCTACTCAAGGAGGCTGAGGTCTGAGAACTGTAGTTCAAAGCCAGCTGGGGCAGGAATGTTTATAAGACTCTTGTCTCCAATTAACCACTAAAAAGTCAGAAGCAGCCGGGCGCTGGTGACTTACGCCTGTAATCCTAGCTACTCAGGAGGCTGAGATCTGAGGATCGAGGTTCAAAGCCAGCCTGGGCAGGAAAGTCCATGAGACTCTTATCTCCAATAAACCATTAGAAAAAACCGGGAGTGGCGCTGTGGCTCAAGCGGTAGAGCATGGGCCTTGAGCTGAAGAGTGCAGGGGCAGTGCCCAAGGCCAGAGTTCAAGCCCCACGACTGACCAAAAAAAAAAAAAAAGTCAGAAGCAGAGCTGTGGTTCAAGTGGAAGAGCACTAGCCTTGAACATAAAAGCTCAGGGACAGTGCCCAAGCTCTGAGTTCAAGCCCTAGGACCAGCACACACAAGAGACAGAAAGCCACAGCCAGAGGACCAGGTAAACTACACCTAAGCTGGCTGGGCATTTCTTTGGCTTCATTAAGCCAAGTACTTCCCTGAAACAGACCTGAAGGGGTCATTTGTGCCATAGGGGAAAAGCATCCAAGCTGAGGATAAAGCTCTTATTGCAGACCTCATCATTGAGGTATACCTTGGCTAAGCAGGGTAAGAAAGGCGCTTGTTTAATGTCACTCGGGTTGAGGTGCAGGCTGTCCACACCCCAGATCAGATCTCCAGTTACAAGAGTGGCTGGGTCAGGGCATGCTGCAGTAGCATGTGACTGAGGACAGCAGTACACATGGGTTCTTGCATGGAAGTCTGTGCGTGTGTGTGTGTGTGTTATTTTTTTCCTGGCTTTGATGGAGAAAGTGAAGTCAGCATCTTGGATGGAGCCGGACTCCGCTTCCTTCCTCTGCCTTGGCCTGACGCCACAGCACCATGAGTAGGTAACAGCTTCTCTCTGATCTCCCAGCAGGCAGCTGGGGTAGGGGAACAGCAGATGAAAAAGCAGTCTTGAACCTACATTACATGGGCACAGACTGAGCACAGTGCCTCCCCAGAGTCACAGCACAGCCACTTATTTTCCAGGCCCTTAAGTCTTGGTTTATTTAGGAAAAAGGATCACCATAATTACATCTGGCCCAGAGAGTGGCCTGGAGATGATGGGGAAGATGGCCCTGGGGAAGGGAAGCTGGGATTTCAGGCAGGAATGCGGGGTTCCAGATGTTTACGAGTTTACAAGACATTTGGGGAAGGCGCAGGAAGCTAACAGTTTCAGGCCCTCAAACAATCGTCTAAAATTGCTGCCACTCCTGGATTTCTTCTAAGGGGTGCTTATATATTTGCACGTCATCAGGAAAGCACCAAACCTTGCACGGCAAAGGTGCCCGATGCATGCTTGTCACCACTGAGTTGTGAACAGCCCAAGACAGAAAGGTGGGGAACAAATGTTGGACAGTGGGGTGGGTGCAGGGAATCCCAGGAGTCAGAGCTGAGGCTGATTCACTGAGGTGGCCTGGCTGGCAGGTGGCAAGGCCAGTGCGGTGTGGTGGTGTTGTTGTTGGTGTGTGTGTGTGTGTGTGTATGTGTGCGCATGCTCTGGCTGTCGGCAGGATCAGGTGTCTTCCACTCTGAATCTCCATCCTGGAATGATCGTCCACATTCCTGTACTGACCTCAGGAGGTTACAGGCTAGGACACATAGATGAGAGGGAAGAAGGAAGACGAGAAGAAGAAAAGGACAATTGAGGGCAAGGATCGAGAGAGGAATGAAGAGAGGCCAGAGGCTATGATCCAAGGAAGCAGTCCCAGAGAGGAGAGAGATAGGAAACATTTGGATTAGGCTTCCATTTACAAGCAGTTTCCTACACACTGCAGGCATTTTATTAAACTGTTTCTTGTAGTGGGAGAAACAGATGCAACGTGGACATTACATGGCTTGTCCTAGGGGCTTTGCTAATGGTGGGGAAGGGGGCCTCACCCACGCTGGCTCATTCCAAAGCCTGCATTTCCTCTCCTTCCCCTACAATTCTAGAAAAGGATGGAATAGAGGGCAGAAACAGAGCGGCGTCTTGAAGGACTGGGAAATGGGTGAAGAATCTGGGTTTTTGGAACTTCATACTACATCTAGTTGTTGTTGTTTTTTTTAATACAGTGTGAAGAAATTGCCTAAGATGGGGGTCAACATCCATTACAGAGAGCTGAAGACAGGAACATGGAAATAGTCATGAGAAGAAAGATGGGACAGACAAAAAAACCCAGGGCTGACTATGGTAAAGCTACAGAAAGAAGGGTCTGGACCCTTAAAAGTCCCTTTGCCAGGAGACATGGGTGTGGGGAGAAGGGAGGAGGGAGGACATTTCTATCTCGTGACAAAAGAAAGTCACACAATTGTTTTGTTCTCTGCTCTGGGCCGGGTGGGCGCCTCTATTTACCAGAGGGACTGAGGTCGCTGTGGCAACCACACATCTGGGCCCCGGAATCCAGATGTGCTGTATCCAGAAGCCATAGCAGAACGATGAGACAAACATTAGGCTCCCCAGTCCTGGCCCCCATAGCTGGAAAGAAGACGGAGGACCAGAATAGGGAAGTGTAGCGAGAAGAGGGAAGACGACGAGTGGAGAAGGGAGGAAGCAATGGGAAGGGACATGGAATGTGGACACAGGAGTGGGAAGGGGTATAGAGGACAGTATGACAAAGGCAGAAGGCACACACAGTGTCAGCAGCAGGAGAAAAGACCAAGGGGGTGGGATGAGGGACAGTAAGATAGAGAAGAGGAAGCTGGGCGCTGGGAGCTCACGCCTATACTAACAGCTACCTAGGAGGCTGAGATCTGAGGATTGTGGTTCAAAGCCAGTCAGAACAGGAAAGTCTGTGAGACTCTTATCTCCAGTAAACTGCTCAGAAAAAGCTAGAAGTGGCACTGGGCTCAAGTAGTAGACCACTAGCCTTGAACCAAAGAAGCTCAGGGACAGAGGGGGGGGAAGAGGGAGAGAGACAGACATAGGCAGGCAAGCAGGCAGATAAGCAGACAGCGACAGAGCGAGGGGGGGGGGAGAGAGAGAAATATAAAGGAAATGAGAAAAACAGGAACCAGGAGTAAAGGTCAAGAGAGATGGTGAAAACTGGTGGTGGGGGTGTAAGCAGAGGAAGGTGAAAGGTCCAGAGAAAAGAGGGAGGGACATTGGCACAAGGAAAGCAGAGAGAAAGCCTAGAGAGCCCAGGACAGGCAGAGTTGATCACATGCAGGAGAGACAGTGGCCGGGTATGACTCGGGTGGTTCTGCATGTAGGTGTGGGCAGAGGAATGGAAAGGAAGGGAAATCCACAGGGGCTGCCTTCACGCCCCACCCTCCACATACACAGCTTCCATTGGCTCTGTAACTCCTCCCCCAAACTACACCCTTCAGCCAAGATGGGTCTGACGCCTGGCTGGCACCTAAGTGTCCCTGTCACTCAGAGGTGCAACCTGAGTTCCCAGCGTGATCTCAATGCCAGCTCTTTGAGCATTTTCCTCAAATGGGATCGGGGGAGAAAGGGCAGTGGGCTAGGCGGTGACGGACCCGGATGGCATGGCAGGAGAAAAGACAAGTACAATGTGACAGGAGCGGAGCAGACGGCGTTTGCTGCGTGTCTACTGCGCCTGAGACATGGCTGTCACCACGTCTCCTCCTCACACCATAGCATGACTACATTTTACCGACGGAGACAGAGGCCGAACGTTTAAATACATCAGTCAATAAAAAGCTCCGCTGGGAGCCCAGTTCAGGCGATCTGCTTCCAAAATCCTGGTTCTCATGGCACACGTTGCTGGAGAGGGCTGGATAAGGCTCAAGGGATCCTGGGACAGGAAGTGGCTGAGGACCAGGGCTGCCCTCTGGAGGGGGAGGAAAACCTAGTTCCTGGGAGCCCCAGTTCCAGGTTGCCATAGCTCCCCAGTCTGTTTTCACCCTAAACACAGTCGGAGAGAGG